TTTACAGTCTCAATCCTTCCTTGACAACCCCATCTCGTGCACGCCACGCCGCGAAACCAGTCTACGTTTACCCACTTACAAAAATACCCAAAACAATTCAGCCGATCCCCTACAAATAAAAGAACTAGTTATAAATGTGGTGGAAACTACTTTGCGATATATATAATTTAGGAGGTACTATACAACACACTCATGTACACTGAAAAATTCGTAGAGGTATATGGCGTAATTTTTTTTTTCAGGCACATCGTCTCAATACTGATGCAACCCGTTACATCAAAGAGTAGGTTATGTATGTTTTTTATGCTTCTTTTGAGACGTGCTCGTCCTCGTAAATTGTCCGTATATACGTATCTACCCGCCTCATGTGAAGTATCATAGTTCTCTCACCTTTGTAAACATGTATGCAGTACTTAAACTATTGGGCCTGCTTGTAAACATGCTTTCTCGCGCTAGTGCAGATATTGAGGTTCTACCACGTAGCGCATGTCATACTTCAGACTGTCAGCTCCATGCCCGGCGAATATTTGTAGTATTTCTAATGTTATTATTCATGTACACAGAACAGCTGTTTAATTTGCGAGATAGTATCTTGTCTGTCATGCCAAAACGTGCGTATCAACATATACTAAGAAATTACCTAATAAATGATGAACTTGATGGATGTAATATAATTTATGTCTGGGGTGGTCTTCATAATGTAGATGATTTGGGATTATCTGTTTTGCATACACACAATTAGGTATCACACACAACGTAACCGTAATGTTTAAAACACAAATTGTTAAAACATGTAAAAAACTGTTTTCTATGTTTACTACCTAGCGACATATATAATTTGACTTGTATTCTTAAGTGTGTCTTCTCTTGCTCAACTACACTCCTCTCAAAGCGAAATCGACATTCTTGGAATATAAAAGCCAATGTTGAGAATTGCGTTGAACAAACACAAAAGAAATCAATTGAGTTGAATTGGTCACGTAGGAATGTAAAGCAGCGCGCTGACCCACGAAATGAAACCCAAAAGTGTCGCATAGGAATTTCTTTGAATCGCTGACTCGGAACGTGAACAACTTGACTTGTTACACACGACATAAGTAACCATGAAACCTTCAATGCAGTTCAGTATGGGTGTATTGCTTTGTTTTTATATTTTGGGGGATTTAAATTTGGGTTTCATAGTGCGAATGTGTGTTGTTATAATAATTAAATTAAAATTGTATTAACTTTTAGGAAACTTTTTTAATGTTCTTTTGCAATTAATCGTTGTTTATTATAATTTGACAGTGCTTCTAAGATGTAATCGCCCGGCTCAGTTTTGCCCCCACCATCCTCAAACTATTATAATATTCAGGACTAATTCGACTACATTATTATGTACAGTGATATACAGTGATGATGTTAAATGTTTGGCAATAATCTGCTACTTATCCTAGAATACTTTTTGTTTAGAGAATGTAACATTATTTGCTTCTATTATGATACATATTGTGTAACTCATCTTGGTTATATACAAATGATTGTAATCCATATTTTAATTTTCAAAATCAATGACGCGGCCACACTCAGAAAATATTTATAAACGAAATGTGTTCTGGTACTTAGCTTGTACTCCTAATTACACAAACGTTTGATCGGTTAAGCCAAATGAAAATATAGCACATGAAAAAAAGAGGTAAAACAACAGAACCAATGAGGAAATCTCATTGATGGTAATCACCACTCTTTCATTGCATCAATTACGGCATGAAAATTACTATTTACGCATTAGTCGGGGAGCAATACGCAAATAGCAAGTAATCTTGACAATACAAATGTTAAAATGACGTATGCGTTCATTTTATAATTTTGAAGGCTGACTCCGTAAAAACGGTTTCAAATACTCATAGCAGAAGTCGTGGACCTGTAAAATAAAATAAAATGCAGTAAACAAATAAGATATTATTGAAAGTGTAGATAATCTGATATATATATATATATATATTTGTCACTATCCCGAATAAGAGAAGGTTTTAAGCAATTGCTCAAAATATAATTAGATATTGTTGTTTCAAAAGTTTGTGATTTTTACTTTCATCTAATCACTTAATTCATTCAAAGGCACTGCTTATTATTGTAAGAGTTGTCTGCAGCACATCACTTTTTAATCAATTAGTTGAAACTGATAATAAATACACAATTATACATCTTACCTCGTTTTTGTTGAGTGGCGATTTCTTGGCCCATTTATACATATTCTCATATACATTGCCATCGTACCGTCCTAGGATCGAACACAATATCTCATCCCGGATGTCAAACGCATCTACTAAGGCAACAGCATTGGGGCGAAGGGTTGCCAGCATTGACGTGATGTGGTGTGTGATAGAGGTGATGTTATGTCCAGAGAGGTAACAATCCTGTTGAGATGTGAACAATAATTGTATAAACAGTCGAGTGTTGAAGATTGAAATGCTGTAATTCGCGCAGTGACGATCGGAGTATTGACGTCAGCCATAGGAGTGGAAATAACAACAAAAATATTGGTAAACGTATGTATCGCCAGTCTTATTTTGCAGTGATAACACCTGTTTGGCCGGATCTGTGAATTGTCGTGAAACTAAAATATGATTTTAAGGATTTGTACATGTTTCAGTCACAGCAAAAGCATCACAAATTTATTTTTATTAACCATAATAGTGATACAAAAAAGAAATTGCAGGGTATTTAAAGTAGGAAACGCACCATCATGAAGTCTCTGGAATCTTGATAAATGCCATACAGCGCGTATAGCTGACATAACGATGTTAGGACTAGTTTCAGCGAGTCGCTCATCTTTGTGTCTTTAACGCTACCAACAAATGCACTCACAGTGACAATGAGTCTGTAGATGATACATTAACACAGTGTGTTAGTAAAAGACATTATGTTCGGTAATACACCTAATACTGGGGGGTCACATTAATAGTACCTAACATACCATTGCTGCATTGACAAGTTGAAGATGGCAATTATTCCATGCATTGTGCTGGGATTGGCCCTCAGAAATATCACGGTGTAACTTTTTAGCTGCCTCCATCACTAATCTGAAATATAAGGGATGCTCGCATTAGTTTAGATGGAAGTTGAACACATCGCTGTAATTGTGTGGTAGTTCCAATGATTTGTGCCTGTTTCGTACCTCTGAGCTCTGTGTTTATATATGTCGACCAATATATCCAATTTCAACAGATCTGATTCACTCGTTATTGCACACTTCTCAATTATGGGTTCATTCAAGTATGGAACTTGACCAGACAATACATCACCGGACAATGTACTTCCTGCGCACTTTATTAAATACCTGAACATGATTAATTAAATAGAATATTGTCTCGTGCACTTACATATATGCAATTAATGTTGCATTAAAGTAGACAGTCCAAACCCAAGCTGTATTTGCAGAACACACACTGTGGCAATCATGTTAATACATGGACACCACAAATATTGATTGTCCTTTGATAGGCTTAAAGGTATTTCAAAAATTCACAATATTCTATTCTGAACTGGATTTCATCCATCCACTGACAAATCCACTGACTCTTAAAAAGGCAATGTTCAAAACTATTTGTTATAATGCGGAAACCAATGCTGTTGTTTAACTTTGACAAATTTATAGTTAGTTGCATGCGAGTATCCATGTCCAACGCATGCTAAACGACATGTTTCTATACCAGAGTTCGTTACATACGAAACAAATCCTTTGAGTCCAGCGGTCACGGCATTGAACTACATAGTACAAAAAACGACAATTAATGTTACCAATCTATTTGTCGAAAGCCGAAATTCTACGAACATACACATTATGCAAACTGACACACAATACAATAATATATAGGATTAATCGAGAACATCATAGGTATAAATTTCTAACTTTTTGTCGGTGGCTGAAGTTTCCGGTTGCCATTTGCTGTTGAAGTCTGTCGTACATTCCGCTGACACGTCGTTCAACTGTATAAAATGCGTACGTGGTGGCAATGTAGGGTAATATCTTCAATTGCTGAGATTGGTAGTCAAGAATATGAGCCTCTCTGGCTCTGTGAGAAGAAAAGTCAAATTATACAATTTTATTGATCAAATACATTTAGAAAGAATACTATTTTTTAATGACTCAAACACATCTTGACACAGAACATGACAT